ATGATATAATACATGATACAACATACTGAACATAGTTATATAAATTGATTTCTTAACTCACAAATAGAAAATAACACCAAAACCAAAATAATAATAATAATAATAATAATAATAATAATAATAATAATACATGAAAGTTAAAACAGAAAACTTACGGTTTCACCAAATCTTGTGGGCATGTGGCCACTGACCAGGGGCTGAGTCTGTTAAAGGAGACGAAGTGACGGACGATTGCAGCTTGACGGCGGGCTGGTGGAGGTGGATTCACCTACCGGCAGCGATGGGCAAGACTCGAGAGATTGGAAAAGCTAAAGAATTGGAAATTTGGGGATTGATTTCAAATGAAGGGATAATGAGATTTGGGTTGGGCCTATATATTATATAATTAAGGATTGGGCCCAGAACAAATGACCCAATCCAATTACAAAAAAGATGATGGGCTGGGCCGCATTGGCTCAATTTCAAAAAAAAAAAAAAAAGACTAGAGAATGGGTGAAAAAGACGAACCAGATTGCCGGCGAAGTGAACTCCCAAACTGCTCCGACGGTCAGGTGGAGCCCAGCAAGTGTGGCCGGCCCCCTTGACCGGGTGTTGGGTCCGTCCCTACTTATGAGGCAATGGGGCTACATACCCCATTTACAACATCACTCAATTCATTAGCTAAACTCATCCATATTCACTTACGAAGCAATCGGGCTCGTCTCTTGCTTTTTGTTTATGGAAAGCGAGTTCAAGAAGTCAATTCCTTTCGTTTAGTACGAGGTGGGTACTTTATTTATATTGCACTTTTGATCTATCAAAGTGCTAAACATCTATTTATATACTAAATTTATAAATATTATTTTTTGTTTCCAAATAAAATTACTAAACCTAAACATCTATTTTGGCAAATTTATCTATAGTGAAAATTAAGTATTCAAAAATGTGATAAATAAACAATGAATCTTTTCTCAATTATTTCTTATCTCAATACTTGTGAAATCTTAGAAACTTTTAAACTTGGAAGTTTAATATTCACAAAAGACTAGAAAATTATTAGGAATATTTTTGTTTCTTAGCCCCTATTTGATAGGGATTAAAATTTAAACTTTAATCTAATTCAAAGTAAAAATTTAATTTTAATTATATATTTCATAAGATCTAAAACTTTTCAAATATATATTTTTTTAATTTTTATCAAAATTTACTAAAAATCTAATTTTAATCCCCACCAAATAGGCACCAAATTGTCTTTCCAAGTTTTAATTTTGGACTTGGGCTCAAATTATACTAATATGGTATCTAATAAAACATGTGGGCTGGAACAATTGGGCCGAGAATAAGTGATAGTAAGCGTTGAAAAAAAAATGTTATGGCGTAAATAATGTAGTACAAAATAGAATATTTAGTCAACTATATAACCATTATGTCAATTCAATACATGCAAAGCGATTTAAAAATGTAATGATAGGAAATGATTTCCTTATTTAATAACTTAATGTTAATATTATATTTTTGTAATACTATTTAGCATTATGGTGCATAAATATCATTAATTGATAAGACATGAATCTCATTTAAGATAAATTGTCATTTAGAGACACATAGATTGGAAATAAAATATCAGCGATGCTACATATCATTATTCTAGAAAAAACGTTAACATTTTTCATCTTATTTTTGAAATGGAGTTTGAAATCGACATTCTCACAAACAAGAAGTGTAATTTTACCTTCGATATAAATTTATTGCTTGAATGTAAAACCCATAGAAACCCTCTTCAATTAGGGTCAGTTTGATTGCAAGAATGAAATTGGGTGAAAAAAAAAATGAATTTCAGGGAATTGAATTGTGTAAAACTTGTTTTACTGAGAATTGTCAATTCACATGAAAAGTATTGAAATTTTGAATTTTTTGGTGTTCGTTTGTCTTTATTTTTGCATCATAAAATTGATTAAAAAAAATTTTCTTCACTCTCTATTCCCCTTGAGTCAAAAGAGAAGAATCTCAATAATGATATTAATCACTTATATTTTTATATAAAGTTGAACCCCAACCTTGAGG